GCTCCACCTTTGCTTTCTTCACTGTTGTATTCTATATGGAGACCAACTTCTTTACCTTGCCTGCTGGGCCCCAATTAACATTTTCCTGATTTCTGGCTCTGTACCTAGTAGAGGACCATCATTGTTTGAGCTGTGCAGCTCTTGGGGTGAAAAGGGGTCTAAATGTGCTGTTTCAAGGTATCTCAAAAGGTACTTTCTTCAGCCAAGGTTCATCCACACATTAGTGCGTCCAGGAGGAGGCATCAAATGTTTATTCTACCCTGTCACCCAGCACTATTTTCTGTACTATTGCAATAATTATCCTCTAGTCTCACAACAGATATACATATCTGTTGAAGTTTAGTTCATGCTCCCTCTTCAGACAATGGTAGGGGCACATTAACATTGCAAAAAAGCAATGTTGTTTTAGATGGACTGTGGCCAACTCTACATTGATTTCCCATCTGCTTATAAGACCTAACCTCAGATCCACTTAAGTCAGTGAGAGTCTTGGTTCCAGTGAATCTTACATCAAGTTCACTACATAAACCTAAGAAAACAAAGAACCTCATAGAATTTTTCCCTTTGAATTTAGATCAAGAAAGAATAAATTTATCTAAAATGTTTTAATTATATATTCCCTAAATGAATTAATTGAATATTGGTCTAATACATGATTAGATCCTAACATATAATCTAAGCAAGGGGAGAGGATACAGTGTGTGAAGATGACATAGATTTAATTTCCCCTTTTAAGGTAAGGCAGCAGTGATACAGACTTAAAGGAGCCCATCCATCAAGAAAAGTAAGATGAAGATGCAAAGAAATGAACAAAGCTTACATTAGTTACAGGATCACTTTCATTTTCAGTAACACAAGCCTGAAGATTCAAAATGAGAGATTTGCAAGTTATCATGATCCTCTTTGCAGCCTTTTCCTCAAATGGTTTGATCATCAATTCTGTTTCTAGAAACTCCTTTTTTTGAGGATTCAAGGTCTAAAATAAACAAATAATTTGGGGAGATTAATTACATTACAAGAAATCCAAATCATGAACCCCTTACTAAATTAACAATATTATCTTCACAAGCAAGTAAAGTATTACCCTAAAATTTACGGATTGGAGAATGGAAGCAAAGTGATTGTCAATTATCATGCAGGATGCCTGTGGTGGAACTGATAATTGAATTAAGGTTTCCGAAATTCCCATTTGATACCTAATCCCCAAACCATCTGTGTAGCACCATCTTTTTCTATTAAGGGGTACCTAACTCAAACTCTATTGATCTCTCTGTTTAGATGAATGTAGTCAAAAACCTACAAAATGTAGCTCCAAAGACATGTTTGTAGAAGATTTCCACTTCTAAAATTACTACAGAATATTCTGGTACTGTTGAGTATTTCAAATGACTTGAACAATGGTTGAACTGATTTTATTTTGACCAAAGTTTTCTTTTCAGCAAAATAACTTTCCTTCTATGTCTCCAACTCAATATGTTTTTGCAATTGTGTAGCTTTGGTGAACTTTTCCTCTCTCTGATTTTCACTTCCTTGTGCATCTTTGCAATAAAAGCTGAAATAGTAAGAATAAAATTTGCTGTTCTCAAAGTCTTTCTATCTAGAGAGGAAGTATCATGAATCTTGTGAGACAGCCTGCTCTCATGAGATTTTTGGCTCAGATGGGAAGATTCAGGAGTTTCAGATATCATTCAGAAAAAGAACTAAACTTTTGTCTCCTTATCCAAACAGCCAAATTTTCATCTCAGTTCAGCTTCCTCTTGATGTCAACAGTATTTCTGTCATGGTTTCAAATAGAAGTAAGATTGAAACTTTTCTGGAATGTACCAATCTCTATTTTAAAATGCCAATGGTTTAAAAAGTTGGTCATTTCAAAATCTTGTTATTGGACCAACAAATCAGTACTAGTCATCATAAAGAAAATTATTTTAGGTATTATTTGTGAGGTAAGCACACGACATTCAAAACAGTGATCATCCCAAGTGCAGAAGTGTGTTGTAATACTTAAGTACCCAAGTACCCACAACCCTTCAAACAACTTTGGTTCAGGTACCAAATTCATTATGAGCCACTTGTATTTTAAAAACTGTTAGTAACCCAATACAGAATTCTCACAGTTACATCAGGATCCAGGGAGAACAGATTTAGCCGCTCCACATGTCGAGATGTTTTCACAGTTTCTTCAGTCTCCATGATATACTGTGGTGATAGTTAATAAATTAGACTTCTGCATACAGACAATAATTCAGATACAGTTGGTAAACCTTAGAAAAATATTTTTGTTTCATTTATAAAAATACATTTCATTTCTATGTCTGTTAACATTTCAGGTGCCCAAAGTTGTTAGACATTATTTAAACTGCACAACACCCTCTGACAGGTAGGTAAATTAAGGCACATGTTAAGTAGCTTGCCAAAACATCACAGTGAGCCAAATAGGATTGAGAGTAGAACCCTAAAGGCCTAACATACAGTCTGCAACTCTTAATCATTAGCCCATATCCTCTTCCTTCAAACACCCATAAATAAGCTAATGTTTGCATTTATGTTTTTCAAACTCATGAACTCAATGATATTTTAATACTAGTTTTAGTTTGGCAATGTCAGATGAGCATAAATACATATCCAATTTCAATTTCAAGTCAGGGAGTGACATGCTCATATTTTTGGACAAAATTTGGCCCTTTGCCTTTATTATATCATAATCCTCAATAGCTGAATATGTCATGGCGATGTACATAGACTAGATACGATACTGGATGAAATGGAGAATAATATGTTGGTTATCTTCACTTAAAATACAGTGTTGTAATATATTTTATGATAGGTTTTTAGTTGTTTGTTGCCATAACACACTAAAAAATTGCCGCCATTAACTTTTCAGAGGCTTTTCTTTTCTTTTTTTGGTTCTTGTTGGGGTTTTTTAATTGTTGTTGTTTTAAATTACCCCATTTTGCTACAGAAGTTTATGAGAGAGAAACTTGGAGGAAAAAGTACCTCTCCTGATATTACAATCCTCTTTCAATGAAATGATAATGTAACTGGCAGTACACAGTGTGAAATGCAATGTTAAAATCATTTCCTGCTTTGCTTTGTCATGGCTCTAAAAACCAAAATGAGCTGTGATGGGTTTTAAAATGTATTATTATCATAAAAAGAGGGGTTTTTTTTGCTACCGCTCAGTTTATATAAATCTTGCAGTGCTGTGTAAATCAAGTCAGCATAGCACAATGCAATGTCCCTTACTTTTACGAAGTCTGGATGCGAGGTATTCTCCAACAGATCTGTCTCTTCTTGTTGGCATTCAGAATTTATTGAAACATCTGCAGACTCTTAAAAAAAAACAATTATTGAGAATGATTGTGAGGCTTTTATTACACTTGCTATTAACTCCTATGATTAAAATATAGTTATCTTTTTTTTTTTTTACCCTTAAGCCTTGTCCTTTCCAACTGTGTCTCCTTCTCTTGTTTGTTACTTCAGATCAAACAGGCAGAAAACACCCCCCTAGATTTTAAGCTTTTCAGAGTGAGGTGCTCATCTGTATTTATTTTGTGAAGTACCTGGCACATATATGAGCACTCTGTACACAATAAATAATAAAGCCCAGGATACAACTGCTTTTTCATTTTTCTCCATCTTTCTTGAAGCAACACAAGGAATTTTTTGCAACTTTATAGTCCAGATCTTCTGATACTATAAACTTAGGGTCTTGTTACACCCTATGCTGTAAGCTGCACAAATGTTGATCAGTTTAGGCCTAACTTGGAGTTTGGAGCAGTCACATGTTTGGTCTGACCTCTGACTGGCCCCTTACCTGCACAGCTATGACTTGCCACTAGAGGCCTGGTGAGAAGGGAGGTCTGTTTCAGCCCTACTTCTCTATGATTCCCTATGCTTTGCCTATTCCTCACCCATGGCAGCAGCAGCTTTCTAGACTGTGGGGAGGGGATAGAGGTGACAGGGTTCCTCAAGAGCAGCTAAGGGACTTGGCAGTGGGGCTGCATGGGGAGGTCTCTGCCCACCTGGTTCCTGCCTCTGAAGGTGGAGCTGCACTGCCAAGAGCCTACAAGCATGGAGCTCCAGGTTCTGGCTGCCCTTGGGAGAAAAGTGGGAGCTTTTCTGGGGGAGGATTTCAAGATTGGGTCCTGTGGTGGCACAGTAGGGGGTGCTACTACAGAGCTACCCACCTCACAGTGCCAGGCCCCAAAACCTTGCTTTGGGAGTCTCCCATGGGATGCCTACCACCAGCTGTCCCGCTTCCTGGAGAACAACGACAAGCCTGGAGTAACACTGCCACCACCTGGGCACTGGTCTCTGTTAGGGCTCTGTGCAGCCTGGGGCAGAGAGACACTGCAAGCCTTGGGGGTGTTTTACCCATTGGCAATATTTCTGAGTGCCTCTTTCAAGATAACCTCAGTTAGGACTGAGGGGACACCAACAGACAAACTCTGCTGGCCAGTGTGGGAGCAAAAAGGGTTGCCTCTCCCATCACAGTGAAATAGTCAGGCATGCTATAACCCAATACCTTTATTGATCAGGCTGGGTAGAAGAAGGAAGTCAGAATACAGTTTGAGCAAACATAATCAATCAGAGTCTTACACAGTCTTGGATGTAATAGTCCTTTTAAAATGCATCTGCCTAGACATAAATCCTAACTCCTGACTAATTTCCAAGTTTTAACTTACAGGAATTCATTCAGGGAGCAGCATGGAGGCACTTTGCTTGTGGCTTTTCAAAATGCCTGCCAGAGGAAGAGAGCGTTCCTCCTCTCCCCTCAGGGATTTATCTGATCTGGTCACTTTGTTGACCAGTTTGAACCAAAAAGAAAGCAAGTGAGAGAGAGAGGGGATGACCCAAGGGAGAGCAGAGAGAGGAGAATTTCTTCACAGGTCCCAGCAATTCAAGTGTGCGGGAGGTCCCCAAGCTGGGCAGGGGCTGCCTAGGTGCCCTTTCTGTGTCCAGAGCCTAGCAAATTCCAGTGCCCAGCTCTCCCATGTAAAACCTGAACTGCAGAAGGCAAAGTGGGGTGGGGGGCAGAGATGCTGCCTGGTGCAAGGGCTTTTATCTCTCCCCCTTCCTGTCCCCCCCTCTCCCCTGATCTCAGCCTGGCCTGAGCCTTTGGGTCATTGACAATGCATAGAAGCGCTACTGACGCTGTTGGCAGTGCCTGTGGGCGGTCGCTGCTTGCCCTCCTCCTTGCCACTGACGGCATCTGCAGGCAGTTGTCAATTGCCGCTGGCCACGGCTGACGTTGCTGGCGGAATCTGCGGGTGGTTTCCACCCCGTCCCTCCCCCATCACCGCCCCTCCCCCTGTTGCCACCACCGCTGTGGCCACTGGTGGGAGCTCCCCACT